AAAGTTTTTACCGATACCAACCTTAGAAAACATTTATTATAAAACTATTATCCCTAGCGTTTTGTATGGCATTGTAGTCTGGGGGTCTTGTTCTTCAACCTTGACGGATGATATTGATCGAATTCATTTAAGAGCTACTAGAATTATTTACAACCTACCCCATAGCATCCACAGTGATGACATCATGAACGCTCCACACTGGAACTCTATTGTTTCATTTTACATCAGGAGACTTTTAGTTATTACGTACAATATCTATCATGGAAATAGCATTGAGCCTCTAAATGACTTAATAGTGAAATCCGAGACTCCTTATGACTTAAGAAAATCCCTAAAAGTTAAGGTTCATAGACCAAGAACAGAAATGGGAAGATCTTCGTTTAAGCACAGAGCTGCACTATCCTGGAACCTCCTTCCCGAAGACATAAAGAACAGTTCAAACTTAACTTCCTTCAAGAGAAAACTCAGGGAAAATAAGAGAATTCTGAAATCTATCAGTTTTGCTAAAGCTTCCTGCAGCGTTTCCTACAAATCTGTTGACTTTAAATACTTTTAACATTTACTCCGTATTGTTATTAATATTTATTTCCTTTAATTGTCATTATTTACATACCATTTTCGGTCTATTCACTAATTAGGTATTTATTAATTGATAGTTTAGTTGATGCAGGTCCACATCAGGACGTAATGTCTTGCCTATCCCTCAACCTGCTTTATTAAATAAACTATGATGATGATGATGATGATAATGACGAATAAACCATAGGCCCTGTCTCCTGCAGGGTTAGGGGTAGGAGATGTTAATTTCCCACGCACGAGATCACTGCATGGTTGATGTTCTCCCCTGGGGTGGGATGGGTGGGTTGCTGTCTTACATTTCATACATGAGCCTCTGGCTTGGGCAATCTGGGTAACCCTGCCTCATGTATAGACGATAAACTTGATTGATTGATTGATTGTGTGAAAATATGGAATCCCAAATGAAAGGGTTCCCAAATCTCCACAAAAATAGTGGGTTAATAAGGGGAAAGGAAGCGTAAGGGTGGCAAGTGTTGAAAGTGTGAAATGATGAAATAAAATGTTAGTTTTTCAAAAGAGAATTTGCTCTGAGGGACCTACAAATTGACAGGCAGTTATGTCAGTCATAAGGCGGCATTAAAATAAAAACTATCAGTAGTTCAATTGGGTACTTGCATAGAGGGTCCACACTTTCACACTTTTATTTTCTTTTCTTACATATCTACAAGGTATTCCTTTGAACTGCAGATAATGGGTCAAATTTTTCTTAACTTAATATAGTTACACTGGAAATAAAAATGAAAATGAAGAAATATAACATAAAAAGACAAAAAGATAAACAAGAAAAGGAAAAAAGGAAAATGAAAGATTTTCATTGTAAAAGACTCCATAAGGGAATCATTAGTCTCTAGAAAATTGGAAAGCGCTTTTTGCTTATTTGTTTTTTTTTTTTAAGAAGGTTAGAATGAAATAAGACGAGATATTCATAATCAGAGGAAAAGGAATGAGGGAGATGAGTAACATGTTGGTTAGTATTAAAAGTACGTGGTAAAAGGAATAGAGGAGGTTAGGTATAGGGAGCCAAAAAAAAGTTCTTTTAAGTCAAAAAAAATTTTGAACTGAATATTTTGATTGATATAATGGAGGGTGGGAGTTAAGGATGAGTTGGTCTGAGTTGGTTTTGATTGACAATTGGTTTAAGGTAAATGATTGATCAAAATTACTGGTATCTGTCTTGAATTTTAATGGTGATAATAACAGACACAAAAGTAAATTCCAAAATAATTTAATGTTATGAAAACTTAACTAAGCTATTTTGACAACACAGTAAATGATGGAACGGAAAGAGTACCATATAATCCCATACATTAATTATGCATTCCACTTCTTTGTCTTTCATGACAAAACTTTAAAGACGAAGTCTACTAGTCTGAAGGCATAATTAATGTATGGGGTTATATGGTACTCTTGCCAAATGGAACTATTGCAAGATATTAATGAGAAAAAAAATCCCTCTCTCCAATATTAGCTTAATTAAAATAGTGGAAGTTTACCAATGTAAAATTAACAGTAATTCGTTTTGCAATGAGAGATATTTAACTTTGGTTAAAAAATAAATGGCTTCTTTTTTCATAATTTTTCCAATCCTAAAGAGCCACTTTCCTAGATTTAAATCAAAACAAAACCAAATGCATGACTTTGAGTCAACATAGTCCACAACGAAATCCATCTGTTATCGCCATACCTCAGTCTCCTTCGGCGCTTAAGTAAAATTTTATTTCACAGGCGTTACACCACTTGCTCCCTTTCTCGCTTTCTTCCTTCCCTGTATGAATAAAATTTCGAAAAGGCCTACAGGAATTAAGTTTAATTAATTGGAATGTCGGTCGGAAAACGGCGATGAGCAGCGATTATCTTGCTTTTCAATCGTTCGACGATGATGTAAACAAATTGGAGTTTCTTCAGGCAAGTTCACAGCTCTTGCCAAACCAAGTGGCAGGGGCTTAGAATTGCCGTAAAAAGCTTCTTTACTGCTCCTTGTCTTACCGACGAACCAACATTTTGCATGAACGGACGAAAAAGTGATCAGAAAAAGCCAACACGACACCGTAAACGTTTCCGCAAATTGAGCCAGTTCGCAACCGTATTGAAACTTCGCACAAAAGACCGTTTTTCGGCGCGAGAACAATTTTTGTACAATTTGCACACCCTCTAAGTTTTTTTAAATTATTTTCTTCTTTTAAAAAATGAGAATTAAACCCTTATCTTTTCAACGGCTTCCTTGTTTTTTCAACTTTTGTAACGGCTGTTCATTTACCGCAAAATTTATTAAGTTTATAGAAGCGCGCGTCTGGGCCCGCGTTTCGTACCGCTGGTCTCTGGCGTACGCAGACGTTTTTCATCCCTGTCTTGCCCAATGGGAATTCTCGTTAGAACTACTGGTGCATTTTGTTTCCGCCCAGCGGAATATATAGCTTGAGTAAGTCGCGTTTCTCCGGAATTCGAAGCAAATGGAATCCGTAGTTTCCAACCAAGGAGAATCATGAGCCCTTTTTTTGAAAGCTTGAGAAATTTAGGTAACAAGGATACAGGAAGATCGCATCCCGTAGAAGGTGAGGTTATAGTATGATACTTAGTATCCGGTTCTGGCAACGGAACCGGCAAATTGCGTTTGAGTTCTGTTAGCTACCAACATCGAGAATGAATGAATGAATGAATACCTTTATTTAAGTGTCAGACTAAAATAGCAGTACATAACCACTAAATGGGGACACTACAAAATAAATTAAAAATGACTAAATCCATATATTAATTAAAGTTAAAATGCTAATTGAGCTAAAAATACTAAGATTGGTTAACATGCTAAAATATTTACAATATGTATAAGATAAAATTTACATTAAAAACTTTTTTACATTAAGTACTGCATAAAATACAGTTGGTACAGTAATTATCGGTCAGTAAAGTATTTAGATCAATCTTACGGATATTTATCTTGAAAGATGATAATGTTGGCAGATCTCTAATGTTCTTAGGTACAATATTCCATAACTTAGGTCCAGTATATCTGATAGAGTGCTTACCATATGTTGCTGTATTAAATCTAGGAATAACAAATTCTTTGCTACGTAGGGCATATTTCGTATCAGACCTCCGAAATAGGTCAGCAATATACTTAGGACATATATTATTCTTGACCTTGTACATGAGAGTAGCCATGTCCTGTAACCTTCTGTTATGTAAAGTACATAGATTAGCCATACCCAATAGTGTGTTATAACTTGACGTTTTGTCGCAATAGATGGCTCTAAGTGCCCTTTCCTGTATGCGTTCGAGTTTTCTGCTGTCACTAGCACGACAGAAGTGCCAAACAAGATGAGAGTAAGTTAAATAAGGAAGAATGGCAGCTTTAAACAATTGCAACTTGGTGCTAGTAGGTATTAAGTTTCTGAGTCTCATTAAGACTCCTACACGTTGGCTGCTTTTCTTACAGATTGTAGTAATATGTTCAGCAAATCGGAGATCATTGTCTATTGATACTCCAAGCAATTTCAGGCAGGCAGTTGATTTAACTTCTACGTCTCCAATAACAATTCTCATACTATGATCACATTTATTACCAAGTGTTAAGGTTCGATACTTGTCGAAGTTTCCTTTAAGGAAGTTGGAACTGTACCAGTTGGAAGCTACTTCAGCACTTACTGTCAGATTAGCATGAACATCAGCTAGATTACTGCTCATATCATAAAACTGGTGGTCATCTGCATACATATTAAGGTTTGTATTAATGTCATAAGTTAGATCATTCTGAAAAATGTTCCATAATAACAGCCCAAATGCAGATCCCTGAGGGCATCCCCTTGACACCCTCTCCCAGGAGCTCACTACTGGTCCCAGTTTAACTCTGTTGGAGCGATCAGTAAAATATGAGTTCAGAGCAGCATTTTTACATGAGTTTAAAACTGAACCAATCAAACTAAATTGAATAAGTCAAACAAGAGCGAACAGGTCTGTTTCCCATTTCACCCCTTGAACAGTAGACTGCCGCACACTTTGTAACTAGTAATAGTTTTAAATACTTTGAAGCATTGATCGTCAGTCCATGTTTCCAGATGATAACAGTAGTCAAGACAACAGATTCAAGTCAATTAGGAATTTCAATCAGTGAAATATCAGTAAGCATCAATTGTAGTCTCTCTTATCCCTTTTCACTCCCTGTGGCGCATACGTCTAAGGAAACCTCACGCCATCTCCTTCTATCCCGGTCTAGCTTCTCTATTTCATACACCTTAATCACGCAGCGCCATATTGGATTGCGTGAGGCACCAAATCGAGGCTGGACGGGCACAAAGTTTGTTACACTAGTGTTTACAGTATCTCTTCTTGATGTGTAATAGCGTTTGGTACACTAGTGTTTACAGTTTCTCTTCTTGATGTGTAATAGTGTTGAAGAGTAATAAAGTAGATGTAGATGATATATGACAAGTAGGCATGGCCCACGATCACTGCTCTGTTAACTTCTGTACAAACGACGAGAAATCAGAGTAGTGAGAATTGATCTTTTTTCAACTTACCTTCAAATTCTTTATTGAGATTGAAATGGATTGCCACTATAAAGCAAGATGAAGGGCTAGATTTTGAGATAAGAATCGAGCCGTCACTGGCAATTTGTTAGACGCATGTGTTACTAGCGACCGACTTTTTGCTTTCGATTTAAAACACAGCCGCTACACATTTTGTGAAATACCTACTTTTTTTGTATCTAGAACACTAGTCAATTAAGGAATCTATTAGTCTTTTACTTTATAGTTTTCATTTTACTTTTGGCTCAAGCTGTCAAACGCACATGGCAATGTTTTGTGTGTTTTTATTAACTAGGATTTTGTAATATATATTAAATGAGATTCTCTGGCCCTTGTTTATTTGCGTTATAATTGAAAATAAAACTTGAATTACAACAAACTTGAACTACATGACAGAAAAATACTAAAAACTGCCCGAAACTAAAACACAAAAATTTTTCCCTAATATTGTTTATTATTAGTACGTAAAGTGAGGTTTAAATCAGATGGTCAAATAAATACCTGCAACCTCCATGGCTCTTCATTTTTCCACTGTGACCTGTAGCTTCAAGCTCTCTTGACAATTCCTGTGTCTAGTGTTTTCACTGAAAGGAAAGGTGCAAATGTGGATGTGTGACAACGTGGACACGCTATGAGTCATGGTTTCTAGAGCCTCATTTCGTTACTTTTTTACTTCGTTGGAAGTTTTTGATTAAATGAATCCAGGCATAAATGAAAGATAAGAACAAAATAATATCTGTAAAAATGGTATGAATAGCGTGAATCACGCAACTGTTCAAATAAAGTATTTCCATCTTCATCTAGACTTGAGGCATGGACAACAACCTCAGAACAACTTGTTGATATCAAAGATGCAGCCTTCTCAGAAATTGCTGTAACCACGGGTTATTACATTCTTTGGGACCTTTCCATCTTTCTCGTGCCATTTCTCGACGAAAGTTGAATCAAAATAAGGAATATTCTTAAGAGATTTTGACCACATAACAGAAGCTTCTCTCTCAGTCATAGTGAATTGAATAGAAATATGCCAAACACACAAAACAGAATGCCCGTCTAGCCTCGATTTGGTGCGGCACCGAATCCAAGATGATGCTGCGTGATAAGGCTGTATTCCAGGTGTAGCCTGCCTCCTTGTCTACGGTTCTCCTCCAGTTGTTTTTAGGAAGGCCTTGTTTTCTCTTCCCCTGTGGGTTCCACCTCAGTGCATGCCTGGTAACATTGCTGTTTGGTTTTCTGAGGGTGTGCCCTATCCAACCCCATTTGCACCTTCTAATCTGGATGTCAATTAGTTCCTGATCAGTTCTTGCCCACAAATCTTTGTTCATTATGACCTTAGGCCAGTGTACATCCATAACAGACCATAAGCATTTATTGACAAAGGACTGCAGTTTGTTGGAGGTTACTTTTGTTACCCTCCATGTCTCTGACCCATACAGGAGGACGGATTTCAGGTTGGTGTTAAATATCTGTAGTTTGATCTTTGTGGAGATTGTTTTAGAATTCCATTCAGGACGTAGAGTTGTGAGAGCAGTTCTTACCTTCCCAACCCTCACTTGTATGTCTCAATCAGACCTGCCATCTTTGCTGAATATGTTACTGCCAAGGTAGACAAAGTCCTCCACTTCCTCGATGTCTTCCCTCTCCAATTCAAGCCTGTCTGCATTACTGGATGGTGTTAATTCTCATGCCCTTTGTCTTAGATTTGCTGATTCAAAGGCCTGCCTTTACTGAGATCTTAGCCATCCGCGTTCGGTTCGGATTGCATGCCCGGGTGATTGTGTGAGAGTAAGGCAACGTCATCCTTGAAGTCTAGATCTTCTAGCTGAGTCATGAGGGTCCACTGTATGCTATCTCGTTGTTTCTCTGTTGTCTGTTGCATTATCCAGTCGATGAACAGCAGGAACAGAAAGGGCGATAACAAACAGCCCTGGCGTACTCCTGTGAGCATCTCAACCAATTCAGAAAGGACTTTGTTGTGAATTACCCTGCAGCTGCAGTTGTCATAGGTCTTCTGTATAAGGGTAATGTACTTCTCGGGGATGCCGTAATGATGTAAGAACTTCCACAACAGGTCTCTATCAACACTGTCAAAGGCCTTCTCAAAATCAACAAAGGTCGTGCAGATGGGAGAGTTCCACTCAAGCGACTGCTCCAAGATGATCCTCAAGGTGGCAATATGATCAGTGCGCGACCTTTCCTTCCGAAATCCAGCTTGCTTGTCCCTCAGTCATTTGTTCACTACCACCTTCAGTCTCTCCAAGATTATTTTGCGCAGCACTTTTCTGGCAGTTGATAGCAGCATGATGCCTCTCCAGTTCTTGCATTCCTTAGGTCTCCCTTCTTTAGTAATTTGATCAGGTAGCCTTTTTAGTCATCTGGTACCTCATGTGTCTCCCAGATCTTCCCAAACAGCTTGTAAAGCATCTTTGTCAAGGTACTTAAGTCTGTCTTGATGGCTTCTGGTGGTATGTTGTCAGGTCCTACCACTTTTGCATTCTTTAAGCATTTGATGGCTCTCTTGATCTCTACTTTGCCAGGCCTGTTCTCATTGACCTGTAACAGTGTGTGGGCTGGTTCTATATCAGGCATCTCACTAGGCGGAGGTCTATTGAGCAGCTTCCTGAAGTGTTCTGCCCACCTTTTTCGCTGCTCTTCTTGATCAGTGAGCACCTCCCCGCTTTCAGCTCTAACAGGTCTGTCTGTGGTCTTTCTGGCACCTGCCAGTGTTTTTGTTATGGAATAAAGCTCTTTCACATCACCTTTCCCTGCTGCTTCCTATGCTTGTGTTGCAAGGCCATCCACAAAGTTCCTTCGGTCTTTCCTAATGCTTTGCTTAACCTCTCTGTTGACTTTAGAGTATCTGATCAGGGCTTCTGCTTTCTGAGCTCTTGTTTTGCTTGGGTTTGACACATCCTTTTCCTTCTTCCTAGCCTCTATCTTTTCCATAGTAGCTGTGCTGACATAAGCCTTGTGATGTTTAGTCTTACTTCCCAGTGTTTCCTCACATGTCTTCCTCCAGATATCTTTCA